AGTTTGAGGATAACAATTTTGGGTTGATGACCTCATCTTGTGAAAAGTCGTCATCGCTAAGCCCAATTCAAGAAAGTTTGCACCCAACTAGGAAGTACCCTACAAGGTAAGACCCATGACCTATCCAATTGAACCTCTCAACAAAAAGCTTATACCTTGAACTTGAAACTCAATACTAAAACTTCCTCTTTTCTTCCATTATGTGTTGAGTGTAGAAATTTTTCTAACACCGGATCTTGCTAGAAAATTTTCTAATCAAGATCTCAAACTTTAAATCCTTGGAAATGGTTGGGCACAATTGAGGCCTAAGGTGTAATCTCATTTAGTTACACTCTTAATAAGTCCATCTCAGTTAGACGAGGAGCATTGGCACATCATTGATTGCTCCCTCCTACTTAAAGGCTCGTATGCCCAAAGGACCCTTAATTGCCTTGGGCTGGATGCCCAAAACTAATAGTTGGTCCAAGGTGATAATTTTGAAAATATGTTAGTGAATTGAGGCCTAAAACACTTACAAATCCTTAAGTCTAAATGCCTCATACTCTAGGCACCCTACTATCTAAGAAATGGGCTGAAAATGACTACTAAACAAAAATTGAAGGTGATTTTCATTACTTAAAATGTTCTTACATTAAAAATGGGGCACCTTATCCTCTGATACAAAAAAAAAAGAAAAAAAAACACAAGTATAAAAGGGTCCTCAACCCAAAGATAGTCAATGAAGAAAATTACAAGGGCATGTAGACCCCAATGAAAGAATAGAAGAGAATGCCAATTTTGGAGTTTTCTAGCTCCTTTCTTACTCTTCTTGATCTTGTTCGTTTCCGTGCTCTTGCCCTTGGCCTCTCTTTCCACACTAAACACCTTAGCATCAATGTTGCTCACCCAACCTCATCCTCAACATTGGCAAACAGGTTGAGTTTACTTGTGTCAAAGGTTAGCTTGAAATCCAATACTTGATCCCGACTAGTGTTGAACTCCTTAAAACACAACTTGCCACCGTAATCAAATAGGTCTTGCTTGTATGACTCTAAGGCTTAGTATTCGGTAGGGGTGTCAACGGATCGAATTTGAATTAGATAAGACAATTTCCAAATTCGAATCCAATTAAATATTCGAATATTCGATTCAATTTGAATTTGACTATATAAGTTATTTATATAATTTAATTATTATATATATATATAAATTATATAAAACATTTAAAAATTTTATATATTATATATAAGAATTAAATAATCATCTGAATTCAAATATTTATCGAATCGAATCAGGTCATATTCGAATTCAAATCCAATTAGCTATTCGGTATGAATAGAATATCCAAATTCGACCAATTAGATATTTGAATTATCCAATTTTGATTCGATTATGTTGAATCTTGAATTTGAAATCAGATTTTCGAATACCGTTGACACCCCTAGTATTCAACCACTCCTACAACCTTGGCTTTGACCAATTCCTCCTTGACTTTGAAAATGTTTGCTCCAATAATCTCTATCTATGCCTCAAAATTGATGAGCTTGGTTTCAGCCAGGGTGGTGCAATCCATGGCAATCTAGACAATGGCCATGAAATACCAAACCTCCTCTTGCACCTTCTTCAATAGCTACTGAAGGAAAGAGACCTTTGCTTAGCACTTGGTATTACTATCCTCCAAGCTTGGTCCCTTTCTTTCTTAAGTTGTACTTTTTTAACCCTTAGCTCTTCAACGGTTTATGTCTCCATAACTGAGATCCAAAGGGGAGTCCAATCTTACCTTAATACTTCTCTCCCAAGCCACAATCATCAATGACTAGTTTGACTCAATTGTTAGAGACTCCTTATCCTTATGAAGGGCACACCCTCAATCCATCTCCATAAAAATCTTTCCATTGTTGATGGTGTTCCTAGTCTTAATCAACCACTCAGATTAGTAAATCAAATGGGAGGAGGGATGGTGTTGTTGGATGGGAACAAAACAGACATTGGTTTTTGAATTGTGGCCTCTGCTTTTCTCCTCAGTCGCATAACATGTTTCTTCTATGGCCTTGACAATAATGTTTCCTTAGAGCCCCTCTTGTTGAGCATAATCTTCTCCTCTTGTTGAATAGTCATAATCTCGGCTACCTTCTTATTTGTGGCCTCGATCTCGACCACCTTCTTGTTTGTGGCTTTGACTTTTGCTATAACCCTCTTCTTGACAGCAATTACAAGTCTTTTCTTTTCTATATGATCCATCTCTACATTCATAAGATAAGCCAATGTTAACAATGTTCACTTAATCAAAAATAAAAATGAAACCAAGGTGTATATCTACCTAATGTGGTTGGACTCAATTTGGTTAACATCAAGGCTCTTTCACTAGGAAATTGCTTGATAGTACCCTTGACAAATTGAATCCAATGAGGCCCTTCTCACCAAAACGTAACATCGGAGGGCAACTTCTCAAATGTGAGGTCTAAATTCTCCTACATCATCCTAATGGGCTAGCCCTTGGTGTAGGACACAATGAAGATTGAATCATCTCCTCTGCCCATGGATAGAAGATGGGAAACCATCTAAGACCTTCCCAAAATGAGCCGTCGAGAACCACTGCCTTTAATCTGTTGAGTGAGTTCTAAGGTAGAGTAATACCTTGAAGAGTTTAAGATTAAGGTTGATGCCTTGTTGATGGGTCGTGGAGATGATCCCAACCAGAACCCTAATGGCATTTAGGGATAGTTGATTAATGGTGATTCCATTGTGGTTCAAGACTTCGAAGACCGAAGGATGGAAAAGGAGTTTGAGCCTAACTTGGATTTAATGTTCAAAGATGTATATCTCTCCCTCATGGTCGGCCCAACACCTCTCCCCAGGCCTAGGAACTCCAATCATATACTTGTTAGAGATATGGCATTGTTGACAAATCCTATCTACATCCTTAGGTTTAAAGATGTACTCCAATTTAGATGCTTCAACTTCCCTAGGTATGACAACCTCAGCTTCCATAGGAACAACCTCACTCTCTACTTGAGTTGAACTATAAACTTTGTCTACCTTGGCTTAGGGTGACTTAGGTCTATGCACCAAACCTCCACCAAAAAGAATTATCAGCCCAAGGTCAAAGTCTCAAACTCTAACTCAAATAAAGAAAGGACACTACCAAGTGAGTCCTAGTCTGGCAGCTCATACTCCTTACAATTCAACTTAGATAACACTTTGGAAGGATTTACTAAAGTGATGAAGAATGACAATTAGGAAATTTGACAATTAGGATCAAAACTATATGAACAGTGGTGATCACATCGCTTTGTCTTCTTGTGTTGTCCATACGCCAATTCCTTGTTTGGCATGCCAACTTCTAAATAGGTACTTTGCCTCTAAGGCTCGTTGCTTCAACAATCCAAAACTGTCACATCTTGCCAACACTCAAACCATTGGAAACTTCCTTCACCCAATGCCAACTTGACACCCAACCACTTGGTCTCACATCACCTTGGCCTCAAAAGTGGGGGCATGTGATACGGCCAAATTTTTTAGCCCAACAGAACCTCGACATGTGGCGGCCTTAGGGGGTACCCTTTCCTATTTATAGGCCTTCGGGGCATCTATGGGATTTCACTTCTAGGCCTTAATGGCTAGCTTACTTATGGTTGTTACTAGGGGTGAATAAATGGGTAGGTTCTACCTAGAACCGAATGAAACTGACCTCAAATTGGCCTTGAACCGGCCCTACCCTATGTATTATAGGGTAGGGTCTGGTTTCAAATTTTTAGAACTACCCCCCCCTCCTCGGGTCTGGTTCCAAATTCTTAAAACTATCCCCCCACCACCTAAGCTAATTCCAAGGTCTAAGGGTTTATCCTATCCAAAACAACCCGATGAATTTGTCTTGATTGGCCTTGGTGGAACTGGCTTGGAACTAAACTTTTCTTGAACCCAAAATAATTTTGAGGATGTAGAGATTTGAACCAATCACTCATGGTTACAAAGGCCATGGTCTCACTTGAACATTGAGTTACTTAAGTGGTTTGATCATTTGTTTTCATTTTAATATTTGAATGTATATAATAAGTAAAGGTAATATTTGCAAAAATTAAATCATAATGATAAGTTTTGAACCATATATTGATATTTTATGATTTTCTAGATATTAAATTATTCAATATAATCAATGAAGATAATATAAGTTTCAAACTATATATTATATTTATTGAAAATCAAATTTTTAAAGAACATGTTTCATGTTTTATGAAGGGGGAGAATAAAGAAAGAATAAGTTCCATGGGTAGACCTTGGAACTACCAAGGCTAAAACTGACCCCTAGAACTGACCTTCACAGGGTAGGTTTTGGTTGCATAAACCTAGAACCTACATAGAGATTCTGCCATAAAACCAAACTGAACCGACCCATGCTCACATCTAATCGTTACAACCTCGACCTAGTGTTCCACCTCATTTATTGCTTGGCCACATCGTACTAGCCTTTAAGGGAGTGTACACTCAACACTAGAGGATACGAGGGAGACATTACAACCTCATAAATGCTATACTCCATGGGGACTTTGCCTATAAATAGGTTGGAAGGCAGCAGGTATTTTCTGGTATGCTTTTTATTGTTACTCTCGCACTCTCACTTCGCCTATATTGTTTCCCTAACAACCTCTCTGGTTATTGTTTCTAATAGAAATGCTACACTCCTTACGTGGAACTGACGTGGCAGTGTTTCAAGTAGAAACGTCACATTACCGATCTTCACCTTAATGATGTGTTCGTGTCTCTTGGGGAATAAAGACTTAAACAGTGGAGGAGACTAGACGAAAATGATTCAGTGAGGGAAGGTATCTATCTTAGCATGCCTCACATGGGCATTGGAGAGTTACTTACAGCATGAGGGGAGGTATCGTGTCTAGCTCACGTGCGAGGGCTGGGAGATAACGTGTCTAACTCACATTGGAGAATCAAACTCCATATATAAGATGGCCTTGATTGTCTCCCTTTAGGCCAGCTTTGTATTATCTGCATTTCTTTCTCTTGTTTTCCTTCTCCAATGGCACCCTCATCATCATCCGAACCTTCTTCTCCCCTGTCACCCTCATCATCTTCATCATCCTCCTGGACATCATTCTCCACCCCCTCTTCTCCCATGTCACCATCACCACCACCATTATCATCATCTGAGTCTTCTTCTCCCATGTCACCTTTGTCAGCTAATAACCATAATGATTCTTCAAATTATATCATTTATCATCCAGACAAGTTAACGTTGTATGATATATTTAAAATGCTAGTATTGCAGACAAGCTTAGGGGGTTGTGAGTCTGTTGATGAGTTCGTGGAGTGTCCCAGCAATTTCGATCGAAAGCAGTTGAACGCGACCCGGTTCAATGTTTTAGTGTGGATGCTCCAGAAGGTGATGATACGCATCAGAAAACCACTAAAACTAGTGGGTTCTTTGGTGGAGTTCACCTTGAATTTGGTTTCTATTAATGGTGGCCTTTTACGATTGGTTTCAAACATTTTCTCATGTGAGTAAACTTAACCATGCATGGTGCAGGCAAGCATATATACGCATTCATGAAACTGCACTTCACATTAATTGACATCTCTCTCTCTCTCTCTCTCAAAAGATCCATGAAGGGCTTCTGGGTGCACGTAGAAAAGTTTAGTAGGAGTTATTCAGTGATTAATTTGACATGAAATTGCTTCATTTGTGAAGGGTCAGTTGAGATTCCGAACAAAGATACAGCAGATTTTCAGTCAGCAATTGCATTCGTAGATGGAAGGAAGGATCTGTACAAAGCCTCTTCCCTCCATAGATCTCACCCGGCGGCGGAGGTATTGGACATGGACGATATTAATAAGATCAACACTGAAGATCTCTGCATAATGGCAGCAAAGGTAGCCTACGAGAATCGAGAATACGTGCACAACGTGGTCACCCAGCAATGGAAGGTATTGTTAACATATATCTCTCTCTCTCTCTACTGCAATCCCAATTCCCAGGAAAAGAGATGGTCTGATCACTGTGGTTTTACTGTGGGCCGCAGATGCATTTTGAAGAATTTTATGGGTTCCATAATCGTGACGGTAAGCCTCAGAACACCATTTAAAATGAGCCAACTCGACTTTGAATCAAGTTCATAGAGCTGATTTGACTTGGGCCCAATATGGGTAGGTTATAGCGGTATTCACTTGTATCGGCCTATCCCAACATGGGCACTGAGCCCATCTAATCATGGATTGCATTTTAGGCCCATTATTCAGGCCTGGGCAAGCCATTCTAGAGGCCCATTAGACCATAATTTGGCATGGTGGGTTGGATGGCTTTGACAAGATTGAAATCATCCATTTATAAATACTTGCTAGTGGCGTGTGAGAGGGCTGTAAAGAGGAACAAAACATCTATTAACCATTGAGAATCATTTACAATGAAATCATGAACGGAATCGGGTTCCGTCCACTAAGTGTAGATACGTTGAAGAGAATTATATGTATACACATGGATGGAAAGACTTTGATCAATCAAATCCCCTGTGACAAAAATCCACTTGATTGGTTATAAGTTTTTTTGGTATCATAGTCAAATCCATATATATTTTATATTTGTAGAAATTTATCTATATTTCTGAGTTTAAAATGATTAATTTTTCTATTTTAAAAATAATGAAACAAGATCGGATTAAATATGATTGGATTTAAGAGTTTTTTACGAGAATGATTTTGTTTTCATTTGTTCTTAAAATCGCCACATCAACAAAAAGAAAAAAAAAATAGCATGTTCTTGAACTCTAATTTTGTTTTGAAAGAGAAAAACAAGTTGGTTTTGTTTAAAAAACTATTCAATTCAATGAAGTAATGCTGATGACAAAACTACACTCCTTGTGTTACGTACAGATATTCTGAAGGAGAGTGACACCCAAGCTTTCATTTTCTGCGACAGGCCCGAGAAAGCTCGATTGATAGTAGTAGCATTTCGTGGCACAGAGATAGCCAATGGTACAGATTGGTTAACTGACCTGGACATCTCATGGATCTCTGTAGGTGAAGAAATTGGAAGAGTTCATGTAGGATTCATGAGAGCCCTTGGGCTTCAAGGCAAAGGGTGCAGAATTCGGCCAAAGGTGTACAAAGGAAAGAAACCTTTGGCATACTACACCATAAGAGAAAGGCTGGAGACGTTGCTGAAGCAAAACGAGAATGCCAAGATATTAGTAACAGGACATAGCTTAGGTGGTGCACTGGCAATCCTGTTTGTTGCTGGGCTTGTGTATCACAAGGAAGATGCCTTACTGAACAATCTGTGGCGTGTCTACACATTTGGGCAGCCCAGGGTTGGAGATGACAACTTCGGGAGGTTCATGGATGCAAAGCTAAATGGGGATCAGAAGAGGTATTTCAGGGTTGTTTATGGGTACGATATCGTTCCTAGGTTGCCTTTCAGTCGCCCCATCACAGAATTTGTTCACTTTGGAGAATGCCTCTACTATAGCAGCTGGTACAAGGCACAGGTAAGTTGGTAAATGTCAGGTGGACAATCAATCCATCCTATTGTTTTTAATTAATTAATCTAATGTTTTGTATATATAAAACTAGAGGTTCCCTGCCCTAATTGGTTCATTGTGATGGATAGCTACATAGAACCTTTTAATTGGATTAGGGTTGACCTTAACCTGATCTACCTAGGGGTGCAAGTCTAGTTGGGTTAGGTTCAATCCTAACCCAACCTGAGTTGATGAACCCCCAACCCTAACCCTAACCCTATCCTAAAACTTGGGGTTGGATTTAGATTGGGCTTGGGCTGGGATCTAGTTGGCCTGACTTTTTTACTTTCTTTTGCTAAATGTACTTGTTTTCTAGACTCTAAGGATTCATATTAATTTAATATTAACATTATTATATGTAAAAGAAGATAGTTAATTATCATGCTTTAGAAAATAATTTGCCTTTAAACATAAATTTTTTGACATACAATATACATGCATAAATGATAGGTATAAATAGATATATACATTGCTCAGTTGCACATGCTTACATGCATAAACATTGAACACACACACATAATATTTATACATGCAAATAATTAATCAAGGAATCAATCCTAACCCAACCCAAGGTTAAGTCAAATTCATACTTTTGAACCCTAATCCTAACCCGAACTTTAAACCAACCCAACTCTAGTTTTTTGGGCTCAACTTGCATCCTTATTGGTTTACTTTCAGCACAGTTCTTTGAGGCTGAATGATCTAACCATCCCTTTTATCAATAAAACTTGCCCCTAAGCTAGTTTTTAAATGTAAAACTAAAGATGTCCCAAGAAGATTGTAGCAAAGACCTCTAATGTGAAAATTAAATCTGGGAGATTGAAAACAACTTCAAAACTTAATTTTGATATGATGGCTCCGTTTGTTTGCAGTGTAAATTTGAACCGAAAAGAAATTTTGCATCAGGTTCAGTTTTACATCTATTTGTTTTTAATTATGATTTTCACTCTTAACCAAGGTTTAAAATTTTGACACGATACATCCTGTATCGAGCATATTGTATTATATTGATAGTTGTGCTCTAATACTTGAAACATAGGGTAAATGGCCTTTTGATCCTTTCAAGCGGTAGGCAAGCCTAAGGCCTATCCCCCTAACCTATTTTTGAAAAAAAAATTAAAAGAAAAAAAAATCTGGAATGAGGTACAAAGTACTGATACACCCTTTCTAGTGTATCAGGGTGTATCTTTACTTTGAACTGCTTCTAACTAATACAAAGTTTGTACTTTTTGACTTATTTGCACTCATTAATAGTGTAAAATTTGCATCAGCTTCCTTCTACCTCAGTTCTCCCTTTTGTAAAGTGGGGACTTTCCACCTCACACCCAAATACCTAACACTCCTCATACTTCCATTCTCTTGCATATAAGGTGGGATCAGACTATTTTACTTTTAACAAACAAATAAAACAAGGTATTGAAGCAAAAATAAATCAGAATTTACACTCAACTTGTTTGCACTCTCATGCATTTATACCAAAATTTGGACTGCAACCAAACACAATCTACTGATTAACTTAAATGGTCTTATTGATGTTCTTTATCTGTATCTGCTTTAATTTATGGTGTAACAGGTATTGAAAGAGGAACCAAATGAGAATTACTGTAGTCCCTGGTTCTTTATTCCCATGCACTTCAATGCCTGGCTGGACCTGGTCAGAGCAATATTTGTCGGCATTAAAGAAGGGAAAAGTTTTGAGGAGAGTCCCCTCTCTCTGTGTCTTAGGGCTTTGGGGCTCCTGATTCCTGGTTTGAGTTCCCATAGTCCAAGAGACTATATTAATGGGGCAAGGCTACGAGTAAATGAATTGCCCAATTAGAAGAAAGATGATGATGAGGAAGCGTGAAGTGTTGAAGGTTTTAAATTAAGGCCCCGTTTGATTCACAGGAATAGGGGTTTGGAATCAAAATCAGAATCGGAATGGGTTATTTTGATTCCAACTGTTTGGTTGGACAGAATCGGAATCCCATTCCCATTCATGCTGGAATGGCATTCTCCCATTTGAGGGAATGGCCATTCCCAGCCTCTCTATTGGGAATCAAATACCATTCCTGCTGATTTTAATTCTCATTCTCATTCCTGTCTGAACCAAATAGATTATGGGAATGGACCATTCCGACTTTGACATCAATTCTGACTCCGACTACAAACCAACAGTTGGAATTAAAATCAGAATCAGAATTGAAATCTTTCAGAATTAAAATCGTAATGATCTATTTCCATAATCTGTTTGGTTCAAATAGGAATGAGAATTGAAATCAGCAGGAATGAAATTTTATTCTCAAAAGAATGGCAGAAAATGACTATTCCTTCAAATGGAGGAATACCATTTTAGCAGGAATAGGAATCAGATTCCAATTCTATTCAACCAAACAGTTCGAATCCGAATAGTCCATTTCACATTCCGATTCCAATTCTAAATAATTGAAGAGATTCGCTATATGTACTTTTTTGTAATAAATAGAAATTTGCCGCTTGATGCTTTTGTTTCTGTTGTTTTGTTTGTACATAAACAAAATTTAAAATTGGATTCAAGGAATGCTAAACCACAGGGTGCACCTCTTTGAATTCACCCTTTATAGACAGACAAGGTGGGAGGCATGAAAATTGCATCTCTCCATGTTTGGGACATGTGACATGCCCATCTTCGGATAGGTCTTTACACGAAAATTGAGAAGTCTTGATGCCAACTCCCAATTTGGCACAGCTCATCCTATTAGGGACCGGCACTTTGGCATAGGGCTATCAATGGGTTGGTTCTATTTGATCCAAACAATTATATCGGTCTTGGTTCTGTGATTTTATCCCCATTAATAATTGAATTGGACCAATTCTTGCTATTCAGAATAGATTAAGACCCAAACTGATTATTGAGTTAATAATATATAAAGTTTCCCTAGCTAGTTTTTTTTTAATTTTTATTATAATTTTATGTCTTAAAGGGTAAATTTGATAGATAATATATAAGACAATGTTGATTAAAAATACATGATTTATTAACATACAAACAATTTACTAGTTATTATCATCTTTATTAAGGTTATATTTATTATGAAAAATAAAATTTTAAGTTGTCATTAGCAAAGATAATTATAAATATCAGTATAATCAGGTCCAATCAGATCAGACCTCATTATCCCAATTAATAATTGGGATGATTCTGAATTGATGATTATTAACAATCAGTTCAGGACTGGAATACCCCACCCCAAACAGAACTTTAGTAAGTTTTTTAAATCAGGTATGTAACTTTTCGCCCACTAATATATGGTAGAATACCGTGTTCATATCTTGATTTCCTACACTCAACACCTTGTATTAAGGCATACACTAATCAAAGAAAATTCATCGAAATTCATGGGAGTGGTTTTGATTGGTCAAACTCTTAAAGTGTTTTTTATAAATTTTGACCAACTTTCATTGGTCAGGTTAGGTAGGTTCAATCCATTTACAATGATGAGAGGCCTTGACTCAAACCCAACTCAATTTGGAGGGTGGATTCAGTCTTCAAAAAAGTGTGCTTATACCATTTTCACAGCCCTTTTTTCACTCGTACATTGGAAATATCTTGTTATTTATGGGAGAAAAAAACTATAAGTGTATAGATATTTTCAATGCACGGTCTGTGAGAATGGTGTAAGTACACTTTTGTGAGCACCATCCGATTTTCTTAATTTGAGGTCAAGTCCAAATTCTCATGACCGAGGTGATGAAATAAAAAGTTGTGAGAAAAATTAATCACCATTGAATGGCATCTGTCAAAATTGAGCATACTTTGGTGAACAGCTGGATGAGTTCAAATCCGCTACTCACAATACACTACTGTCTATTGTTTTTAAAATCGGATCCGACCAGAAAAATTAGGAATCTGTTAGGTGATTGGTTCTTTTTTTTCCTCAAAATCGGATTTTCTCTAAAAACCACTGATTTTGGTCAGAGAACCGTTGACTTGGACAATTAACTATTCAAAATGGGTTTGACTATTTTTTATTTTCTTTTACTTTTTTAAAGTTTTTATTTTTTTTTGTCAAAACAGGCCAATCGTTTGGTTTGAACGGTCAGATCATTCAACCCAAGAACCAAACCCCTGACCAGTTCATTCTCTGGGTTGGTTTTAAAAACTTGCTACTGTCACTAGTGGTCCTATTCCCATTCATGCTAAACACAAGATGCATTAGGAATATCTTCCATACTTGTAAGTTATTATTCAGGGGAGATGTTCCTAATGCACGGTGGATGTGCATGTGAGGCACCCCGTGTGAGGAGCAGATCCTGTTCCCAAGGGTAAACTTTGGAGTTCTGATGGGCTCCCAACAGAATGCATCCCATAGGCGCCCCACAGCCCATCTTCCATCCCCTCGGTACATGGGGAACATTTCCTGTGTTTGCCATGAAGAGATGGATTATGGGACCCACAGGAGCACAGACAAAATATCATGTCAAACCGGCATCTAATTAATACACTAGATTATTCAAAAATCTAGTGTCGTAGGTAATGTTTTTTCCACTCTGTGAGTTGGAGTGGATTCAAGCCGAGCCAAATAGTGGCTCGGTTCGAACTAGAACCTTGAACTTGAGTTTGGCTCGAGTAAAAAATTCACAAGTTTGAGATCGGTTTGGCTCAAGCTCGATTTTAAGAAAAAACATTTTATAAAAATAAAAAATTATATATAAAAATATTTTTTATTTGATATTTAAAAAATTAAGAATTATAATAATTAATAACTATAATATTTTTATTATATATATTATTTTCTATAATTTTATTATATATATATATATATATTCGAGCCTAATAGAGCTCGGCTTGTTTCATAATTAAACCAATGAATTGGGCTCGAACTCGAGCTCGAATTTAATTGAAACTAAACCAAATCGAGCTCGAATAGTTCGTGAAAAACTCACTTATTGCCACCCCTATATGTGAGGAATCCATCCCGCTGTTCGAAATAAATGGCTCTCAGTTGTTTTGGCAGCCCTCCATGCATAACAAATTATCAAGAACATGGGTAAAAATATATTTATAGTTTTAAAAAACTAGTTGAGACGTCAAAGGCCTAACACCTAAAGCGGCGTAAGACCCAACTAGTAAAGCTTATGTCTAATGCTTGTACCACAAGATATGCATGTTAATGCTAAGTATATATGATGGTTTATCAGGGTAAAGTAGAAATTTAAAACAAAAAAAAAACATCCTTGTTTTGTATTTATATATTATACAATATATATAGAGATATATATATATATATATATATATATATATATATATATATATATATATATATATATATATATAACTTTTTTTATTCATGTCCTTGATAATTATTTTCTCTAAAACACATGCATCATCACATAGATGGTCACTCTTCACTAAAGTGATGCAAACAGTGAAGTAAGTGCAAGAAATGAAACAAGAATGAATTAGATTTATATGATATTTAATTTTTTTTTTCAGAAGGGTGGGGGTGATGGTGGTTAGGAACCTAGATTGATAACATTCGAACAGTTCGAATCCATATCTAACATATAAACAAGCCACAAGCCATACAAAATCTCAATTTTATATTTTTCATGTTTTCCTTTTACACTTTGTGAAAAACAAGGACTTAGGTAAAATAATGCCTCATATGCACAAAGCTGGAAAACAAGTAAAAAACCTAAGTTGTCTAAATAGCCAAAGTTTTTCCCTTGATTAAGGGGTCATTTGTTAATCTTAGTTGTTAAAATAATTAAATAATGGGCAAATTTCTTAAACTATCCTTACTGTTTGGTTAATTGATAAATTGTACCCTTATTCGTGTCCTAAATCACCCCTATTGTTTTTAACAATTGACTAGTTCTACCCCTGTTGTTAGCATCTGTTAATGTTTCATCAAAATTCATACACACCAGATACTACATGATGTATAATTTTTTTAAAACTCTATATTCTCTTCGTTCCTCTCTCTCTCTCTCTCCCTTCTTCTTCCCTTCCTTCTTCATTGTTTTATTCCTTTCAGCAGCGGCAAATCGAACTCTTCACAGTGGCGAATTGGATGAGACGGTAATGATGTTAAACCTTCAAGAAAGAAGATGAATGGAAAAGGGTAAAATACAATTAAGAACCTAAATGCCGATGAGACCCAAGATTGAAACTTGGAAGAAAAAATTTGTTTCTAATCTGTTAATTAAGAAAGTAACAATTGAACCCGTCAAACAACTAGTATCTGTTACCAGCCTCCTACCACCACATACCACTACTCAGGACAGAGTCACACCCCTGACCGTGGGTTGCTGAACAATGCTTCATGCCTAGAAATTGTTTGTCAAAGTTTAATTTGTTATATGGACTTCCTCGGTATATTGCCATCCACCGACCAATCTATTTCTATGGGAGGACTAGACCTGTTCATGGGCCGGGCCGGGCTGGGTTCGGGCTGGGCTTTTACTGTGTATTAACAAATTTTTTTAAGGTCCGAGCCTGGCCCGACCATCGGGCCTACAATTTGGGCCCGAGCCCGGCCCTCATAAAAAGCTCAAAGCCCGAGCCTGGGCCTGGGCCCGAAATTTAGCCTATATTATTATTATTATTAATGTTGAAGCAGCTGAATAAAGAGAGAGATAGATTGAAATTATAAAGAAAAGAATAAAATATATATATTAAATTATAAATATATATTTTAATAAATATTATATTATTTATATATTTTATATAATATATAAAATACATATTATATATTTTATAAAATATATAATAYTGAGTCGGGCCGGGCCGGGCTCGGCCGGGCTTTTTTGACAAATCCCAAGCCCGACCCGAAACACAGTCGGGCTTACTGTGTTAAGCCCGCGGGCCTAATTAT